CCCCACACCCAGTAAAACAGCTATCTCTGTCGCATCAGACCCTGTGACATTTCTACTAAAACATATTGTCTATTTCTCTAGGTTTACCTTTTGACCACTACTCTGCTCATATTCCTGCATAATGCCCAACAACACCTCATCTTCCTCACTAGAACCTCATAAGAATATATATAAGTTGTCTGCGAAGAATAGGTGTGATATGACCGGGCATTTCCTCCCCACTGTAATTCCATGTAATCTCTTTGTTGCTCAATCCCTTTCAAGAAGAGTTGAAAAGCCTTCAGTACAGATAACGAATAACAATGGAGATAGTGGATCCCCTTGTCGTAAACCTCGAGTCGGATGAAGAGAGCCACTTGATTTCCCGTTCATCAGAATAGAAAAACTTGTAGTCATGACATTGCCTAACCCAGTTAATCCATCAGGAGCAGAAACCTAGTTTTGTCATTAAGGCAAATAGGAACAACCATATCCTATCAAAACATTCTCAACTGTCTGCCTTTCTCTTATAAACGCATTATGACATTGAGAAACAATTGGTGGCAGAATCCGATCCAATCTTTCTGCCATGATCTTGGATATTATCTTATACAATAATTGACCGAGACCTATGGGTCAAATCTGTTTCATCGTTTCTAGCATCTACCTTAGGAAATAGAGCTATCTAGGTATGGTTTATATTTCTTATAGAGGATCACAGTCCGAAGAAATTGCATATTGCTTTACTTACTTGCTTCCCAATTATATCCCAAAAGCTCTTAAAGAAGACCCCCGGAACCTACATTGCCCCAATGAAAATGTAGCACTCGTCACTTGGGCTGGTTCAACAGCTTCAACCAGCCCTTCATTCATCTTTGCAATACCTTTTCCGGTATTGGCAAATTTGCCACTGATGTGGACACCTGAATCATATCAGTTTCTGCTGTAAACATCTTTTGGAAGTACACCTCCGTTACTTCTGCCTTAGCCACTTCATTCGTCGCCCATACTCCATTCTTATCTCTCAACCATGCTATAAAATTTCGTTTTCTGCGACCCCAGGTTGCAATGTGAAAGTATGTTGTGTTTTTGTCACCTTCTTTCAGCCACTTCACTCTTGATTTTTGTTTAAAGAACATTTCCTTCTCCCTCATGCCACCGTAAATTCCTTTTTTATCTTTCAAAATTCATCCCAATTAGTTGGAAACTGATTTCTTACCTCTTGTAACTGTTGCCTCAGCCTTTTGATTGTGTCTGGCTGAGTTTGTTATAACCTTCCTGCTCCCTTCAAAAAGCTTGTGTCGAGTTTTCTTAAGCTTTTCCCACACCTGTAACATCACAGACCCTTGTATTTCTTGCCCCTATACTTCTCTTACTACAGAATCAAGTGTGCTTTGTGGACTAGAGAATGGAAGGAATTTGTTTTACCTGTCCCATCACTGAGTTATCCGTGTGTAGGAAAGGAAGAGGGAGACGACCGTTGAAGAAGGTGGGATGAGGGAGATTATAGAATCGAGAGGAAGAGCGCAAGATGGGAGGTGGGACAGGCGCATGCGATTGTCGATTACGAAGTCGAATTCTGGCAGATGGAGGAGAGGAAGCTGCAAAATAATATTGAGGGGAAGACTTGACGGTTTTTCTGCCTTACCGAAGGGTTGATTTGAAGGGTACAAATTTCAGCGGATAGTGGTTGTACGTGGTGGCCAAGGAAATTTAATTGCTATCATATGGTATGGCCGGAAGGAGTTTTCGTTAGGTTGGTACTTATTTTTTACTTCGGAGGATTGTGATTGGCCAAGAGTTGTGTTGACGTGGAAGCATAAGTGGAAGGGGAATTTGAATCCGTGAAGGGGTAAATGAGAAACCCGTTATTATATTCTTTATTACATTACATGAAATAGCAAAGTAAGAAACTTAAATTTTGTTTCAATCGTCAATCACATTAAACTAGTTGATGAATACATATTAATAAAGTTACACAATATAATCCCTTTTCTTCTCACCCAAGGAATTCAACCTCTATTCTTATCCTTATCCCACTCGAATTTCCTTATTTCTCCCCATACAATAAACATGAATCAAATACTAAACAAGAATATCACAACTCCTAGTCTAATTAAAACACTTATTATAACCAAGGTTCAAGTAGGCATTAAGCGCTAAGCAGGCATTGGGGCACTGACTAGCGCCTAGCACACCTAGGCATTTTAGCAAACATAAAGATTTTTAGTCAAAATAACAATTTTTAGCATATTTTTACTTTAATTTATTTTCAAATGATTAACAACTTATCTAAGCCTCAAGAATAACAAAATATATCATGACCTAGATTTACAATGCCATCCGTGGAATGAGTAAAGAATGCATTAAATATAGGACAGTTGGAGATGGCATCATTTTGGGAAGATGAAATACAATCTTTTTAATCATTAGTCCAGAGTTACACAACCTAATCTGTTTCCTTCTCACACAAGGCATTCGGCCTCTTTCCTAACCCTTGTCTCACTCAAATTCCCTTTCTCCCCTCACAAGAAACATTAATTAAATATGAAGAAGACTATCACAATTTCTAATTCAAATAGAAGACTAATAATTTTTCTTTATTTTCTTTAACATGAAGACTTGTAGTTTATAATTACAAACCAAATATCCTAAAATAATACGAAACAATACTAAATAACGATATTAAACCTAATTCTTCGAACCGTGACGTCGACTCAATCTCGTAACATTGGACTATGTTTTTCGAGATTTTGATACTGGGAACAAAGCATGCACTACGGCTCCAGATATTGTCAGTAATCCCCGGTTATTGATCAATGAGTAATCAAATTCCAGCCACCAGATTTAAGTGGGACCAGAAAACCCAGATCTACGGGCGGAGAATTAAAGACATTTTTATTTTTCCTTGTTTTTCTAATCGACTCATATCTTCTTCGTTTTAACTCGGATCTCCATTTTTTACCACACATGGAATGAGTTCGTTGTGCTCTACAAAATGATATCCATTTTCAATATTTTTTGAGAAAAAATTTCTTGCCTCTCGTTACCAACTGCATACCATATAGTATCTTCTTCGTTTTTAAGTCATTTTTGTAAATTTTCACACAGAATGAACAAGTTCATCATGATCTATTGGATCTACAAATTTCTGGGTGAACAAAATACAGGACCAAAAAATACCACACAATATCACCCAATACCACCCTGGTATGGGGTGATATCTTGTAGTACACAATGTTGAAAGTCGTAAATGACAGTTAGTATACTTCTAATATCATGTATTCAATCATCCAACAGTTTTTGTATGTTCAGACCACCATGGTAAGTTTTAAAAAACCATATGGTATGCTCTTATTTAATACCAGTCAATACCATATGGTATATACTGATAAAAAATGGCTTAATTGTTTTTGTCGAAAAATATATAAAAATTGATATCATTTTGAAACGCACAATTAATCTGATCCAACGGTGCAAAAAAATTAAATTCCGAATTAAAAATTGTGAGAAATCTTCCGTTAAAAATTAAGTGGAAAAAATTAAAACCTTTCCAGGAGAGAGAAGGGGAGTTGATTTGGCAGATGGTGATTGAGTTGCATGGTTACGCACTACAAGCTTATGCACGGGAACGACTCCCTGCACTACTCAAATCGTATTGTTGTTAATGTCAAGAAGATGAGGGGCTTACGGTTAGCATGGGTTCATGAATATCGGTTCCATGGAGTTGTTCGATGGGGTTTTCCCCTAGCTTGGGTGGGATCATGGGTGTGGGCTAGGAGTGGAAGTTTGATTTGCAGGTTGCGGGTAACCCGCAAATCGCACCAAACCGCATACTTTGTGTATACCCATACCCACAATTTTTGTCTAATGGGTTGGGTGTGGGTAGCAAAATATTGAATTTTGTGGTTAGTGGTTAACCAAACCACAGAGGTTTACCCACAAAGCCTATAGTAACCACATTAGTTATATTAGTTTGTGAAATTTGGAACACTAATAATAAAGGTAGCTACTAAAATCAAATACATACTTATTCTATAAAACAAAACTAAGTCATTACGCAATGTTCGTGTGAGATACTTTTATCAAATAAGCATCGTTCGTGTGGTATATGTTTATTTTATAACAAAACCAAGTCCGTAGATATAGTAAAATAAATTAATCGATTCGTTAGAAGAAGTGAATAATCAATAAAAGTTAGTTCGATACCCAAACTCGTCTCCATTTCTCCACGAACAACACAACATGCAACTAGCTACCTATAGTACAAAACTATAACTGAGAGTGGAGAATAATTGATTCATTAAAAGCGGGTGCCTACACTTATCGAGCCACTTTTGTGTTGTTATTGTTGCCATCGTAGGAGCCGTGACATGCAACGATTTTTGTCTGGTAACAGGTCACTCCGCCTCTCCGTTATCTTCAAATCTCTTTTCAAATCCATCTCTTCTGAATTTACACTAACTAACCTTTTGTATTTGAGATTTATAATTTATTTAACACTTTATTAACTTTCTTTTATGTATGTTTTCGTTTTTGTGTGAGAAGAAACTCGACTTCACTATTTAATTACCATATTATTTTATTTAATGATGAAATTATTGTGGGTATACACAACCAAACCGCACCAACCCGCATCGAATAGTGGTTAATCGCTACCCACCATAGGGAGGGTTGTGGATAGAATAATTCTATATTTGGGTTGTGGTTACCCGCAAAATGTGGGCCAGGTAACCACACCCACCCCAATTTCCACCCCTAGTGTGGACTGTGGAGTGGTCTCCTGAAATGCATATCCATATTCCAACCTTATTTAATTTTAGAAATGGAAAGACATTCCTAAGATTCAATGGATACTTTTGTAGTATGAATCATGGTTAACTGAAATAAACCATTAATGTCACACATGAAACAATGAAACCATTGCATTCCTTTTAGTTAATTGATGTGATACAAGATTAATATTTAGGCATACACAGCTAGTAGAAGATGAAATTTTTGGGCTAACGACAAAACAATATTTGTGCTTTAGCAGGCTGCTGGTATACACACAAAACACATCAATCCATCAATACAATATAGTAAATGAAACCCCAACATCACAACAGAATACATTGGACCAAACTGAAACAACAAGCTAAGAATATATGACAAACACCTTACTGCGAGACCCATGGCGCAATTGGAATGGGAAAACCAGCAAAATAAAGACCGTCGTCCTTGATCTCCCAGGTAAGTTCATGAAGCTTGGGCATCCCTTTCTTTCTTTGGCTTTCGTCGTATGCATTGAAAGAGAGATGCTTCTTGCTGCGTGCAGTGGCCACATCACACCAGAAAAGCGTCGTGCCGAAAATGTTGCGCGAAAAACTCCAACTATACACATCGCCGCTGACTAAGCGACGGGAGCCCAAGTCGTCATCTTTAGACTCGCATCGCACCGTGATCTTCCGACCTCTACTCAATTGATTTGAAACGTTAATCTGAAGCCTGTACGACATTGCCGGACTCGCCATTGTGATCGTTGCCAGAAGAACCACCGTCAGTATTTTGGTCAACATTTTTTTTTTTTTTGGTTGCTATATGAGAGTTTTGTGTTGTAATGGATATGTAATTTGATTGGCAGCGATTGCCTTTAATAGTGTTAATCTCGAGTACGATTTGGCTGGGTTGGGCGGGGAGAAATGAAATTATCAATAATGGAATATTAATGTAAGGGTAAATATTGAAATATCTGCCTAACCTTAACAGATGCTTTTTAATTTCTTTTCCGGGAGGCAAATATCGAATGGTGTGTTGAACATAAAACTCCAACTTCTGTTTGCTAACAAGTGCCTAATTTTGATTTTTCCCGCAAGCTATGCACAGAGCAAAAGTGCAAAACAAAACATGTTGCCTATATTGATAATATCCTTGTCTTGTTTTCTGAATTATAGACCAAATGATACTAAAAATATTTAGCAAAGGAATTATTATGATGAGAGATGACAAATCTTTCTTATTCGGCTTGAATACTCATTTAAAATTTGGGATGACGACAAATTTGGATTAGATTTTCATTTATACCATTTATCAGTTATGCTTTTAACATAGTAATTATTCCATAGCCGAAAGTAAGGGAATATAATGCAACATGACATATACCAAAATCTATTCTTATGTAGAGGTGTCAAAATAGAATCCGATCTGACTAATCCGTCCTATCACAATTCGAATTGACTAAAAGTTATTGACCCGTAGCCCACCCGACTCGCAACCCGACTAGCCCGCAACCCAATTAACTCGAACTCGATTGATTCAAACCCGAATAACCTGTGACCCGACCGACTCAATCTGAACCTCTCCTGATCGACCTGAATAATTACTATATTATATAATATAATACATAGTCTTGCAAAATGAATTATTCGGTTCTAAATCTAGGTAAAACAGTAAATACTAAATATAAAATCAACACAGTTGGAGAAAGAGGTAGTTAAATCCTGAAATTAAGCCAGACCAAAAAATCAAAAGAACAACTCGCAGTCGGGTACAATGAAAGGGCATTTCTAACCACCAAAGGGGCTACCCTATTGTTAAATCAACCTACAAATCGCACACTATGGCCACCATGAATTGCGAAATAATGTTCTATTTCCTCAAGAATTGTGCCCATCCAACTATCCTGGGTATCAGTCTTGTAGATCTTCTCAACGACCACTTTAGCATCACCTTCATATCTTATAAGACTTACAAAGAATACTATCTCTACAAATTTAATATAGCAGAGTTGGGGCAGTTATTCAGCATTTCAAATTTGTTGCAACGCGAGCGAAAGTAGGAAGGATAATTGTGTTTTCATAATCATTATTTATTTTTTATTCATAGGAATAAAAATACATCAATCTCGGGATTTGAATAGTAAAATTTAAAAACCATATCATGATCCTTTTTGGTATAACCATGCTGATTGTGTTGGTGTGATTGAAGAAGCTTGGAATGGCTCAAGTCATGTGGATGTGCTCTCAAAGATCCAAGCTTGCAGGATGAGCTTGGAGGAATGGAGTAGGCGGACTTTTCCTCGTTTTGTCAAGCAGCGAGAACGCATTGGAAAGCTTTGAAGGCGCTCGACCGATGCCCGAAGATGGACCAAGTTATCCAGCAATGTAAAGACCTTGAAACTGAGGTGGAAGTGTTGGAGGAGGAAGAAGAGCAGTATTAGAAGTAGAGATCTCGTGCGGATTGGCTGAAAGGCGGTGACGAAAACACAAAATTCTTCCACATGAAAGCTTCAGCCTGACGAACGAGAAATACCATCAAAAAGCTTAGAGATGAGGAAGGGAATTGGTTCTCGGGAACTGACCAGGCTACTAACTGTCTCCTTAACTATTTTAGCTCCTTGTTTTCTGCAGGACCTGTGCCGACTGATTCTCCAATCCTGGAAGCCATCCAAAGATCGGTAGCAAGGGAGTATAACGAGGAGCTCTTAAAGCCAATCACGAGGGAGGAGGTTTGGGGTGCACTGAAGCAGATGGGGGCACGTAAGGCCCCTGGTGCAGATGTCTTATCAGTCCTTTTCTTCAGGAAATAATGGGAGATGGTGGCGGATGATGTGGCAGCTACTGTCCGCAAAATTATTGAAGATGGGGAGATGGCATCGGGGTTAAATCACACTCTTATCGCTCTAATCCCGAAGGTGAAGAATCTGACGTCTCTGAAGGAGTTTAGCCCCATTAGTTTGTGCAATGTGATATACAAGATGGCGTCAAAGGTTTTGGAAAATCGGCTAAAGGGTTTTCTCAACAGGATTATTTCGCCGACGCAAAGTGCTTTTGTATCGGGAAGGTTTATTACAGATAACGTGATGGTGGCTTTTGAGTGTTTTCACACTATGAAGAAGAGAATGGCTGGAAATGTGGGATATTTTTCAGCGAAGATTAACATGGCAAAGGCTTACGATAAGGTAGAATGGAGGTTCTTGGAAGGAGTAATGCGAAAGATGGATTTTGATGACAAGTGGGTGGACCGAGTTATGTTGTGTGTCAGCTCGGTTACTTATTCCATCTTAGTCAATGGGCATCAATCTCAGCAATTCTCCCCGGGTCGAGGATTACGATAAGGAGATCCCCTATCACCATATTCATTTCTTCTTTGTTCGGAGGGCTTATCAGCATACACTCAGAAAGCTGTCCGGGAAAAACGACTGCATGGGATTCGTCCAGCTGTGGGGGCGTCGGAAATCTCGCACCTGTTTTTCATCGCTGACAATATTTTCTTCGAACGAGCCACTACGCAGGAGTGTGATACGCTGAAAAGAATTTTGGCAGATTACGAGCGCGAGTCCGGGCAACTAGTTAGCCTGAAGTCTCTTTCGGCAAGAAGGTAAACCCTCATACTAAGTTAATTGTGGCTGGAACCTTGGGGATGACGATTGTGGAGAAGCATGAAAAGTATCTTGGCTTTGCTACCACAGTTGGCTGATCGAAGAAGGAAATTTTTGCGAGGCTGGTTGATCAGGTTCGTAAGAAGCTGAATGGGTTGAAAGAGCGAGTGGTGTCTGTTGCTGCCAGAGAAGTTATGATCAAGTCAATAGCCCAAGCGCAACTGTCATATGCTATGTCACTTTTCAAAATTCTGGATGGAATAATTGACTAGGTACATAGTTTGATCAATACATTCTGGTGGGGACAGCAAGGGTCCGAGAGGCGGGTTCACTGGATTAAGAGACAGGAGCTAGCGTGTTCCATGCTAGAGGGCGGTATGGGTTTTCGGTACTTGACGGGTTTCAATATGGCGCTCATAGGCAAGCAGTTTTGGAATCTTTACCACAGGCCAGACTCACTCATTGCGCAAATACTCAGGGCCAAATATCATAAGCATTCGTCCATCCTTGAGGTGAAGGTGGGATATAACCCGAGCTATGTTTGGCGTAGCTTGATGTCGGCACATGAATTCATCCATAGGGGTACAAGGTGAAGGATTGGAAATGGTGATCGGGTTCGCATTTGTGGAGACAAATGACTCCCGAACAGCGCTGAGGGTTTTGTCTCTTCTCCGCCAAAGGGTTTGCAGTGGAGTCCCGAGTTAGCGATCTCATAGACACAGACACAAGAAGGTTGGGACTTATCAGTGTAGGAACAATACTTTCCTAATAATATAATTCAATCCATTTTAAAGATCCCTTTGCGCGGGATATAAGAAAAGGACAAGCTCATTTGGAATGCGAGTGTGAATGGCAGCTATTCGGTTCGGGAAGGATATCGGTTTTGGCTTGAGGAATGTAAGACAGAGCTGGGGTGTGTTTTGGTGGGCGAGGAGGAAGTCTGGAAAAAAACTTTGAGCGATGGAAGTGGCACCAAAGATTAAACACTTCATGTGGAAATTTGCGAGAGACGCGCTTCCCACTGGAGATCATATAAGTACCAAAAGTCTAAGAAGGAGAGTCGATAAGTGCCTTTTTGTGAAGGGAGTCCCAAATTCACCTCTTTGGCGAGTGCTCATGGACATGTCGCATTTGGCAAAATTCAGTGGTTGCTGACTGCTTCGCGTTCCAACCAGCAATGGTTAAAGCAAGTAATGGATCTTGGGGATGAGGAGAAGTTGGAAAAGTGGAGTGTACTCATGTGGTTCCTGTGGAGAGAACGAAATGCACAAATGTTCAATGGAAAGAAGTTGCCTGAGGATGAGATTGTTATGCGAGCTCGGTATTACCTTGATGATTACAAGACACACTAGCAGCGAGTGAGTATAGCAACTCAAAACCAGGAGCTCGAGGTCTGGGTACAACCAGGATCGGGGCAGTTCAAGATCAACGCGGATGCAAATTTTGCTCAGCCAGATGGTGTGGTTCCGGGTGCTGTCATAAGAGGCCAGGGAGGAGCATATTTGCTGGCATTTGCAAAGAAGGTGGTTGGCGGACAGAGTGTTGAAATGGGAGAGGCTTTGGCGATGGAGTTCGCCATGCACTTGGCAAAACAGTTCAATGTTAACAGCCTGTGCCTTCAATCTGACTGTCTCTCTTTCATTCAAAAGCTCTCGAGGTCAGATGAGATATAGACGGAGACGAGAGTCATTTGTCGTAGTATTCGTCGAATGCTGCAGGAACTCGGAAATGGATCTTGGAGACATGTTCGCAGGACAGCCAACGAGGCAGCTCACTTAACAACTCAGTCGAAGCCTAGGATGAATGAAACTATTGTTTGGTTGGATAGTCCACCCGCCTTTTTTATTAATCAGTTACGGGCTTGATAATGTAATGACCAATGCTGATTAATAAGAATCACAAGTTTTCCCGTAAAAAAAATCATATGACTTCTCCACTATTGTTAGCCAGCCCACTAACTCTCTCGTACACTACAGAAAAACTGGTTTATAGTCACGGTATCTTATTTACGGTAAGTTTTCCCGTACTAAGAAGTATACTAATAGTCATGGGAAACAATCCTGTAATTGATTGTATAGTTCTCGTCACGGTAATTAATTTAACAAAATTTTAACCTTCATTTACCGTGATTAATTGTTAGTCACGGTTAATTACCGTGAATAATGTGTCAATTTCTCTTTCCGAATTGTAAATTAAAATCAAGATGAATTAAAATGAATTAAGTTGGAAATAATAAAAAATGAACAATATTACTAACAATTAAGATGAATTAAAAAGAGTATGATGAAACAAAATTGAGTGACCGAATTTTCTCACAAATAAATAACAGAATTGTGACACTAGTCCTTGAAAATTGGTTTGCCCAAAAATCTTCACAACTCCCGCTTTTCTTCCCGCTTGCAAATCCTAAAATTTCCCTACCGAAATTTAGGCTCCAAATTCGAAAATTTAGGTTCCAATTCCTAATTTTTTTTTGGCTCCAACGACTCCTAAAAATTTTGGGTTCTCCCGCTACTGCTTTACCACATAAAATGAAAATGCAATGGAAAAATGTGCTCCTTCTCTGCGTTCCCAATAGAAAAGGAAGCTCCTCCGCATTTTGTTTCCACCCACCGCCACTGCTTGTACAATCTACACCCGTACATATTCCTCATCCTCCTCCAACTCTGCCTTTCTGTCACCGATGAGGATAAAAAATACGACGGTGAGATTCTCCACATTGCATGTCCAATTTAGGGATTTTCTTCGATTTTGGCTTTATTCATGCTCTTTTTTGTGTGCTTTTTCTTGTTTCGGGTTCTGATTAGGTTTTTCTTTCTATTGGGTTTTCTGAGATTGATGGCAGAGGTTTTTATATTGAGGAAGATGAAGGAGATTGCCGACCAGAGAGGGAATCCGGTGACAGCGAGGAAGAGGGGAAGATAAGAAAGGAGTTCACCGGCCCTAGTTTGTCCCTTTTTTATTTTAAACGTCCTGGTTCTGATTTTTTACGATGCATTTCTTTTTTGTGCAGTTCGGAAAAGGCAGACGACAAGCTGGACTCGGTTATGCTTCCTCTCGTCTCTGCCTGCTCTTGTTCCTATCCGCCTCACTTTTCTCCTTAGCTGCACCTCGTTTGTGCTTGCTCTGGTTTGCTGGATATTGACACACTTGAGGAATTTTTATCCGAATGGTTTACTTCTCTTGTTTAATATGTAGGGTTGTTTGTGGAAGGAGAGAGGTGGGTAAGATCACAGAATACGATATTATGAGAGGTACTGCGTTGTTTGTGATATTTTTTCTTATCTCTGCCGTTTGGAGAGATGGCGAGTTTTGTTTTCTTGTGGTTGGGTTTTAGCTATCTTTACTTTCGTTCTTCAACTCTCACTCTGACTGGATTCTCTTCTCTCCTTTATTGCTTTCATTGCCTCTGTTTCTCTTAGTGGATGCTTGGTTTGCAGCATCTGATGTTGGTGTGAGTAGTTGGAATCATCTTCTGCTCTGCCGCTAAAGGTATGTTCTTGATTGTTCAAACAACTTTACAGATTAAAAAAATGGCATTTGTTGATGAGATACAAGTTTGCATGGGCATTCCATTCACTCAAAAGCATAAGAACCATAATTATTATGTGGCAAGATTCCTATTGACAGCTACTCATAGTGATTCTTTGCATTCAGGTTCTCCCTACTACCCATACCCAATCAAAGTTTGACGCCAAGATATACTTTCGGAGCAAACACTGGATTCACAATCGGATCCAACACAACAACAGAACTAGTACAACCAGCAGTAGCAACAATAGAAGCAATACAACCAAAGGTAGTAGAAGTGGTAGTAGCAGTAGAAGCAATACAACTGGCTGAATACAGGTTGGACTTTGGAGATGTTTGTCTCTTTTTTTTTTTAGAAAAAGAAGAGGCATAGTGTATATGCTTCTATGTTTCTCTGTTGCTATCATGGTTTGATTAGTTTACTCTTGAATGCATTGGTGTAGGTTTCTGCATTGAAAGAATGGATATGGTTCTGCAAGGAAGGAGTTTATCTATTGAAGGTGTTGAAGCCAAATTATGACAGGTTGTGGTCTTTATGGTTGAATCACATAGTTTTATTCTTTCTCTGTTAAAGAGTTCATGAACTCTAAACGTGGAGCTCTGCATTGGCTTCCTCTTAACTTGATATGGAAGTAATAGCAGAAAGGTAAAAACATAACTGATGAGACTGTATGGTTATGAGAATTTTGTGCTTTGAACTGATATTGGAAAACCCAGTGCTTCTAACTCAAAGCAAGACTGGTTTCAGAGAGTTTGAAACCAGAGGTGAGAGACCATCTATTCCTTTTAATCAATCCTTCACTGTATTTGTTGGCTTATATCAGTTTTTTTCCTATTAAAGTTTGCTAATAAGCTGCGTTTTGTTTGTGGCCGATGAAGCATTTTGAAGTTTTTTGGACCAGTCGAGCATGTATTATGAATGACTTTGCTGGACTTCATTGGAGTACAGAAGCACATTTCCTACTTCCAGAATCTAATAAGCTAGCATTGGAAACAAATTCTAGGTCACGTTCTCTCTTGCTTGTAAGCTTTGGTATGGAGTTTTTCCTTAGTGTTTTAGAGTCTCTGCTTGATTGTGCTGCTAAAATTTCATCTGATGAAACTTCCTTACTGCTGCAGCTTAGAATTCGTCAGATGGACTTGTTTGACCAAGAGTTCATTTTGTTTTGTGTTGTATAAAATTGTCTCTGTGTTACACTAGTTAAGGATGTATTATAATTATCTACAGCCTGAAATAACTGCATTTACGATTCAGAATAAATTTTGCTGCATACTTTGAATTCAAAAAGTAATATGAATCATCTCTTAAGCTGAACTCTGGAGGTGCTGAAACCTTTGTAGATTAGTATGGTTACTGTTGTTTGTTATCTAAGTATTCTTTTTATGTTCCAATTAATTGTTCATGACAGAAAATGTTGTAGAATACTATCAAATAGTGAAGATACTACTACAGTCACTGTATGCTTGGGCAGAAACCTCCAAACTTAGCCTTGGGATAACGAGTATGGAAGAGACAATTGTATGTGTTTGCTTTTCTTTTTGCTCATCAGACATTATGAGTAAGGTTGCATGACAAGTGGCAAAAACAATCCGGTAATGTCTTGATAATTGATATCCAATTTGTTTCTATGGAATAGCAGTTTGCATCTTGTGGTTATTTTTCATGGAGTATGTTGATTGTAATATATAGTGTGTTTGTCTCTCTCATGACAAATTTATGTTTGAAACATAGGGTCTAATTGAAGGTTTTTACTATGTTTTGTCAGGAGATATGGGAGTTAATGGATGTTGCAGCTACTCAAGAACATCTTGTAGAAGCATAGATCAAATATTCTAATAACTTTTGATCATGTGTATTTGATTTTCATTATATCGATGTTTCATCAACAATAACTAGTTTTTTCAATTATGTATTAATTAATATTGATCAATAGATGGTATGTGAACTAATTGTATTGACAATAATGTAAGAATTTGATGCTATAAGAGTTTGTCCTTCAATTGTATCGTGGGAAAACATCGTGATTAATGATTGATAATTAGAGATAGTAAAATACTGTGATCAATTATTATTATCTAGACACGGGAGAGCCAACCAAATACTGTGACTAGTGATTGGCATCTAGTCACAGGAAAGGATTTTATCATGGTAAATAGCGTGTTAAAATGTGAACATCCCGTCTCTAAATGAGTTTTTTTCTCGGTTTAGTTTGCAAAATTTGGTATTAGTCATGGTGCTCCCCGTGATCAATAGGTGCAAATTATCATGGGAAATTATACCGTGATGAGTTATAACTAGTCACGGTATCAATTTCCCGTGACCTTTACAATTAGACACGGAGGTATATATTACGGTAATTTTCCGGTGTTTAAAACTATTAAACACGGGAAACACACTTTCAAACACGGGATTTCCCATGATTAAATGATCTTTTTCCTGTAGTGGTAAGTACTTTCTTTATTATTTCATATTTGAATTTTCATATTTTGATTATTTGAATTTGAGTTTAACAATAAATTTAATTTATATCTATCTTATAAATGGAGGATAATTTAAAATTGCAACCTAAATATCATTGATTCGACCATTGCACATTGAATTGCAATATTGAATATGTAGAAGTGATGTATAATTCTTAACTTGATATTAATTTTTATAACTATAAAAGCAATGATATTGTTACTCAAACTGTAAGTGGCCAGTTCTTCGAAAGTTTTAGTTTGGTTAACCATTAAATTAAATGTTGAATCTTTTGATAATATAGCATGATTGGACAAATGGGTGAGTTTAAAAGAACACAATTTCTTGAATATCAATTTTCCTATACGATTTCAATTATTTAAATATGTTATATTATTGGGTAATTGACCATATGTATCATTTATAGTGACTTAGTTTAAAATGAAATACATGACAAATCATTAAAGTCGGGCTGGAGTTTTCATGGACGCATTGATGGGATTATGTGCATTAGCAAGGTCGGTACCACAAGATAGGTTTAAGTTTTTTGTTGAGTGAATAAAATTGGCCTTAAACTAAATTTAAAGTATTTTGGTTAATAAATAATTTTTTCATTGCATAGAGTATGGATGGAAATGTTATTTTTTTACTAATTTTGTTATTGTATTGTGCAAACTACTTTAACGTTTAGATATTGCTATTTATGTATTGTTTCTCAAACAAAAGAATAAATATTGACTAAAGTTTATGATCATGAGTTTTCTATTTATGCTACGCTTTTTCAGACAAACTCTTTTTTTGTTATGTCAATTTTCTTTTCCACCATAGGCAATTAAGTGACTACATCATTAAACAGACAAGTTATGAAGGGTTATTCAGGAGTGTGATAATCAAGATTGTTACACCTCTACCAGATGGATGGTTATACTAGGTCCGATCAAAGTTGTGCTCCAAAAAGGGCTCTAAAAACTAGGAATGGCAATGGGGCAGGTCCGGGGCGGGTTTCTAGGTACCCAGACCCGCCCCGTGGCAGGGCGGGTCCAAGTCGAGTAATTGATCACGGGTCGCGGGTCGGGGCAGGTCGACCCAATGGGTATGCAATTTATATGAAAAACATTAGAAATATTCGTTATTTTTATTATAAGACTAAGAAAACAAACAATATTATGACAATTGTAGTTAAATTATTGGAGAAATTGAGGTTTTCCCTAATTTACAACTTTATTATAGCTAAAATATGATGCAATAAAAGAAAAATTCAAAGTAATTTGACTAAGATTGCATGTAATTTAGACAAGAACGGGCCGAGAATGGGGCGGGTCAGGGCAGGTCGGGTCGATGAGACTACCCATGCCCGCCCCAAAATAGGTCAAACAGGTCGGGTAAAACGGGTCAGGTCAAAATTGCCATCCCTACTAAAAACCAAAGGTCTTATTGTTAGAGAGGGAGAATAAGAGATAGGCAAGGAGATGGGTGGGTGGATCTTGAGATATATATATTTTTTATGGAATTTGAGTTTTAAATAGATATAAGTTAGAACTTTCCATTTCAATCACTAAATTTCTATCTTATATATAAATATATTTAGAAAAGGTGTAAAACGGCTCAAACAAGTTAACCTCAATCAAATCATTAAACTTCAAACCACTTGATTGATCGGCTCAACGTCTTAAACCGGTTTGACAACTTTGGTTATAACCATTAAGTTCCCAATGTTTATCATTGATGAAAAGTTATAAGAATTCTGAAAATGAAAAAATAATTTCGATGTCACCTTAATATCATAAGAAATTCAGCATTTAAAATAATATAAAATTTTAAATAGTCCGACGAACGAGTCTGTCAACAATCTAGTCACTAGAATGGTGAAGTCAGAAGATGAATTATTTTGTCAGTCTCTACTAAGGATATCAAATTATGTGTAGGACACATGCAATAATGTTGTGCAATTGAAAATGCATCTTCATTCTTCCACCGTGTGCATTTTACAAGACCGACATCCTCATCATGCAACCAACATCCTCATCATGC